AAAATCTGCGTTTTGCTACAGCGGCCGTGCGATTTTGAGGTCTTTCTCAGGCGCGTGGTCTGGGGTTTTGCAAGAGGCTTTTTCTTGTTCTGTTTAAGGGACGGCTAGCAGAAGTGTCAGGTTTCCTGGGCGTTTGCCCGTATGCTCTTGGAGCACGAACGAGATAATGGTTTGGGCATGGATGTAATAGTAACCCTATGCTCTTGGAGCGGAGCACGAAGGAGATTATGGTTTGGGCATGGATGCAAAGGGAACCGTATGGTCTTGGAGCATGAAGGAGATTGTGGTTTGGGCTTGGATGTAAAGGAAACCGTATGCTCTTGGACGACGAAGGAGATTATGGTTTGGGCATGGATGCAAAGGGAACCGTATGCTCTTGGAGCATGAAGGAGATTATGGTTGGGGCATGGATGTAAAGGAAACCGTATGCTCTTGGAGCACGAAGGAGATTGTGGTTTGGGCATGGATGTAAAGGAAACCGTATGCTCTTGGACGACGAAGGAGATTATGGTTTGGGCATGGATGTAAAGGAAACCGTATGCTCTTGGACCACGAAGGAGATTATGGTTTGGGCATGGATGCAATGGTTACCGTGTGCTCTTGGAACACGAACGAGATTATTGTTTTATATCCCCCCCCCATCCCCGCTGCAAAAAATTGTTCAACCACACGGCCTCTTACAGGCGCCGTCTCCATGTTTTAGGACTGATGGGTAGCCAGGTTCATTCCTATCAGTCTGCTGATGACCTGAACCTGATATCCTGAACCAATTCCGAATTGCTATAGGATTTCCCTTGTACATCGGCTAAATGCACAACGGGCTTCAAGGCAATGGCAAAAAATGTGAGGCTGCTGATGTGGCTGGTCTAATTTTTCAATTGCAGCACATTCCATTTCAGCTTCTTGAGTCACTTGGCCTGTCTTGTTGCTGGATCTAGGATCTACTTTTTACTCGTTGAGGTCAGTCAGCTTGAGGACAAAGTCTTACAACTGCAAGAAGAGCGGGATGTGTGATCCCCTGAGAGTTGAGGTTGCGCGGTTGATTATCTCAACTGTCAGAGAACCAGCACGAGCAAGCCAGGCTGACAGCTGAAAATGGCGTCATTTCAGAGCACATCCGCGCATTGCAGAAGGATAAGCGTCATTGATGGCCCAGCGTGAGACAGATGCTTGGCACGTTTGGCATCTGCAAGCCAGGAAAACAACCTTCTTCATGAGACCGGCCTGCCAGCCACCTATACAATCTTACTTGAACGTTTGAGCTTGTGCTTGCAAGGGCTGAGTCTTGAACATGAGGTCTTCAAGTGCGGAAAACACGCGTTTGTCGCAGGTTCTGCAGCCAAGCGATACAAAGTTTATCTGCGAGGATTGTGTCAGCACTGCGCAAGGCTCATGAGGGGGCCACCGGCGAGGTGCGTAGTCCATTTTCTGCTGCAGCAAGTGTTCGTTAGACAGAAGAATCCCGGAGGTGGCATCATTGCAACAAGAGCTGAAGGTGCAAGTGGGCTTTCGGCCATGTCACCTGCGACTCATGGTGTTTGCGTACAGGCTGTTTTGGAGGAGCGTGCTCTCCTCCGTTCTTCAATCGAAGCCCTGCAGGCTAGTAACACACAGCCGGTGCCTCATTTCTGCAAGTTTTGCAAGTTATGGTTTCTCAATTAATCTCTGCAGCATTGTGCCACATCGGCAGGCTTCACCATTCTGTCAGAGGCGCGGTTTGCTTCTATCTGCAGTCATGATCCCTTTTCGAAGATCTCAGGCGTTCGTTAAACGGTTTGCTTCGGTGTGTTGCTTAATAAGTCCTTGGCAGGTTTGTGAATTGATGTGATTCTTGAGTTGCTTCGAGTTTGAGCAGAAGCTTTGTTTTGCTGGTGTCATGCGGTCATGTTGTCGGTTTCGTCAGGCCATGTTTACAGGGAGTGCTTTCAGAAGCTGATGGAGAAGGGACACTTCCATGCTGCAGGGATGGTACGGCTTAGCATCGCAGTGCAAAGGCATGCAGTCATACAAGTAGGTGTTTGGTTTTCGCATTTGCCATACCTTATGCTGGATTCAGACCTGTCTGCGTAGCTTCAGCCAGATCAGGCTTGGAAATGTCGCTGGTAGCGGTCCGTGCAGACCTGGAAAGGCGAATCAGCAAGCATGCCCTGGGCTCAACAGGGTTGCGGTGAACGAGCCACTGGGCCTGTCAATTAGTTGCCTTTGAAGGCAGCGATGGAAGAGCACATGTCAGGCAAGTTTGAAGTGGACAGGCAAATTTCGGTTTGCTTTGATATCTCGTCGCAGGTCTACATAAACAGCTGGAGTCGGTGCTCGCCGAAAAGGTTAGGAATGACTAGCTCTTGCTGACAAAAGAGATGTCATAGCCTGGAGCAAGCAGGTCAAGGCTGAAGGTATCATCAGCAGTCAGCATGCAGCAGCCTCAGAATCAGCATGTTTCTCACAAAGGTAGACGATTTCGCACATTTGATTCCTTGCCTTGGTAGGATGATCTTTACAGCGTCTAGCGTTCTAGCAGGGCCACACTCTCCCTGACTGTATGCATGATGACGACGTTGAATCACGTTCGCATGAAACGAGCAGCCTGCACGTTTTGCAGACCTCAATGGGAACCCAATAGCGGGACATTATTGCTAGGTACACACGAGGTGCAGGTATGCACAGGGTTTGCGTTGGCAACGTTTGCTCCATGTCCCGTCCTCGGCGCTGCCTACACTTTTCTTCATAAATCCATAAATCATGAGCAGCCGAAAGCCGAAAACCCGGTACCTTTGTGTACCTTGAATCCTAAAGCCGCGAGCCTTCCCACTCCCCGCGGTCCGGATTTCTCGGGGCTAGCCGTCTCAGCCTTGCCCAAGCTTGTCCAGGCTGGAGCTTTCAGAGCGCGGCGCGTTCCCCCTGCCGAAACCCCTCCAAACCCTGAACTCCAAGAGCTGCAACTTGAGGGCTCAGAGCGCAAGGCGGAGGGGCAGTGATGTTTGCATGGGAGCTACTACTGTCAATATCAGGCTTACCAAGGGACCATATAAGGGTGAGTCTCTAATATAGTCCCTTATATATTCCCAAGCAGGAACCCATGTCCATGGGATATATTGACAGTAGCTGAAATGTCGCGTGGAATTTCCTGTTGTCGCAGAGGCAAAGAAAAGATGAGGCGGCTTCAACAATTGCCCCTACTCGAGTTTCACTGTGCTTCTGGAGCTGTTGCCTCCTAAACCGAAAAGCCTTCGATCCTGGCCCTGAAAACAGATGGCTTCCCTCCACTCGGGACAAACTGCGGAGGGGACCTCAAAGGATCCCTTTGGGGGAATTCTTGCTCAATTCCCCTTCTCCACCTTTCAGGTAGCATGGCTGTGGCAGGCAGTTGATTACGACGGGGCAGCAACTGCATGTTGTAGTCGTCTCAGGTCGAAATCCTCAGTCTTCAAAACCTGCACGATGATTTTCTTGCGGAGAAGGCCCGTCACAACTCTGTTCACCAGATGCAGGACCTGTGCCATCTTCACTCTGCTTCCGTGACTGAAATTGCACTGTCAAAAAGTTGAGGCTCATGGCCAAGTTGTGGCCCAGAAGTTAGAAACTTGTGAAGCCGAGCTCTCCCGCTCGAAGAAGGACACTTGGGACAGCAGCTCACGTAATGCGGGTAAGATGCTTCAGGTCTCGTTGCATACATTTGCAGGAAAAGGCAGACCTCGACCATCTGGTCAGCTCGTTCATACCCCAGTTCTTCGGGATAGGGCTTTAAACAACTTTGTTGGCAAATGGGGGTGGCTGCCCCCCCAACCCCCCCGCTTTTTTAAACACCATCCATGCTTACCGTAAAACAATCATATCATCATCATGTTTGGCTAGGTCTAGGTGGAGGTAGTGCGGATCAAAATAATGATCGAAACAACACCAGTGTTATCATGACTATTTTCATTATGAGCTTCTACTACACCTCCTACTACTACAACTACTACTACTACTACTAGTAGTACTACTACTAATATTACTTCTACGGGGAAAAAAGCAAGGTTTGCCCGGAGGAATCCCGATATACTAGCAGGGCCAATGATTTTCCTTTCCAGCCAGGCTTCAGATTTTGGAATTTCAGGCNNCAATGGATTTGCAGTTTTTTAAGTTTTGGACGAAATGAGTTTTTTATGGTTTTTGAACCTTGGAGGCCTGCAAACTTACCGAGAAGAGCCAAAACCATTAGAGGCCCTAATCCCTAAAAACCGCCTAAACCCTAAACCCTAAAACGCTAAAACCCTGATGCGCGCGTCTATGAACGCTAAACCCTAAAAACCCTAAACCCTAAACCCTAAAAACCCTAAACCCTAAACCCTAAAAACCCGAAATCCCAAAAACCCTAAACCCTAAAAGCAACCTAAACCCTAAAAACCTTAAGCCCTAAACACCCTAGAAGCCCTAAACCTTACAAACCGCCTAAACCCTGAAAACCCTAAACCCCAGAAACCGTAGGCTCAAAAAACCCCAAACCCTAAAAACACTAAACCCTAAAACCTCTAAAAAACTGACAAAAACACATTAAAAGCCATAGAACTTCCTAAACCTTAAAAGCCCTAAACCTTAAAACCCTGAACCCTAAACACCCTAAGCCCTAAAACCCTAAACCCTAAAGACCCTAAACCCTAAAACCCTAAACCCTAAAAGCCGCCTAAACCCTAAAAACCCTAAACCCTAAAAACCCTCAACCCTAAAAACCCTAAACCCTAAAAACCCTCAACCCTAAAGACCACCTGACCCTAAAAAACCTAAACACTAAAACACTAAAACACTAAAAAGCCTAAACCCTAAAAATCCTGAACCCTAAAAACCAACTGAACCCTAATAACTCTAAACACTAAAAACACTAAACCGTAAAACCATTAAAAACTTGTTTAAGAAAACTATTAAAACCAATAAAACCAGCTAAACCCTAAAAACCCTAAACCCTAAAAAGCCCTAAACCCTACAAACCCTAAACCCCAAAAACTTAAACCCCAAAAACCCTAAACCCTGAAAACCCAAACCCCTGAAAACCCTAAACCCTAAAAACGCTAAACCTTAAAAACACTAAACCCTAAAAACCCTAAACCCTAAAAACCGCCTAAACCCTAAAAACCTTAAACCCTAGAAGCACTAAAAACACTAAACCCTAAAAATCCTGAACCCTAAAAACCACCTAAACCCTAAAAGGCTTCAACACTAAAACACCAAAACCCTAAACACTAAAAATCCTGAACCCTAAAACCACCTGAACCCTAAAAACCCTAAACACTAAAAACACTAAACCGTAAAACCGCTAAAAAACTTAATAAAAAACAATTAAAAAATATTAAACGCCCTAAACACTAAACACCCTAAACCCTACAAACCCTAAACCCAAAAAACCCAAACCCTAAAAACCCAAACCCTTGCAAACCCTTAACACTCAAAACCTGAAACCGTAACAACATTAAACCCTAAAAGCCCTCAACCCTCAAAACCCTAAACCCTAAAAAACCCTAAACTCTAAAAATCTTAAACCCTAAAAAGCACTAAACCCCAAAACCATTAAAACCTAAAAACACTAAACCCCAAAAACCCTAAACCCTAAAAACCACCTAAACCCTAAAACCCAAACCCTTGAAAACCCTAAACACTAACAACCTTAAACCGTAAAAACCTTAAACCCTAAAAAAACACTAAAAGCACTAAACTCTCAAAACCCTAAACCCTAAAAAACCCTAAACTCTAAAAATCTTAAACCCTAAATTACCCTAAACCTCAAAAACATTAAAACCTAAAAACACTAAACCGTAAAAACCTGAAAAAGTTCCATAAAAACGCATTAAAAACAATAGAACCACCTAAACCCTAAAAACTCAACCCTAAAAACCACAAAACCTAAAAACCCTAAACCATAAAACCACCTAAACTCTAAAAATCCTAAACCCTAAAAACCTTAAACCCTAAAAACATTAAACATTAGAAACACTAAAAACACTAAACCCTAATGATCATTGGCCTTCAACGGCAGCTGACGAAAATGGCTGGGGATCTGGAGAAGTTTAGGATGAAAAGATCTGCGGCTATGGCGCTAGCATGGGATGATTGGGCCATGCAACAGTCGATGAATCAGCCGCCGAGCCCAAAGCGACAGAGAACAGTCGGTACCCAAGTGGATGAGGAGATGATTCGTGATGATGTCTCCATGGCAGAGGGACAAGCCGATGTGGGTGCTGCTGAGGGATGTTTGGACAAGGAAGTGGACCTGCAACCAGAAGAACCTGCACCGTTGCCATTGAACTGCCCTCCACCTGATGCTGACGAAATCGGTCGGAATTGCGTTGCGCAGGGAGGATGTGAAGAAAATGAGCCAGAGGGGGGAGGTGCGCAGGAAAGCAACTCTGGCAGTGTGGTACCTGGCTACAACGAAGCGGCGACCGAGGGAGAGTTCAAATGTAATGGCACGGAGGGCAATGCGGCAACCTGTGCATTGAACGATGAGACGGTCATGGATGAGTGAGTGAAGCGTAAACATGTCATGCCTACTGTGAGCATAAGACCTCCCCAGCCAAGGCTTGCGCAGAAAAGGTGCGTGGGGAGTGGGGATGTTAAAAAAACAACACTAAACCACCATCAGCATGAAAACCCACCTCGTGAAAGTGCAAATGGTGCTGTTCGCAGTGATGACCATGTACCTGGTGAAACTCTGGTTGATGAATGTGAGGGGGTTGGAGATTTGCCTTGTGAACCTGATGTTGTGCCAGTGTTGGAGCTTGGTGAAGTTAGTGTACCTGCCGCCGGCGTTTCTTCACATACATGTGCTCATCATGTTTTTGACAACGTTGACAGCCTTGCTGACAGTGATGGTCGTCCTTCAGGTCATCAGGGTGAGGATGTTCAGCTGGGAGAAGGTAATGCTCAAGGGCAAGTTTGTTTGCACTCCTTGTGCAGGTATTGCGGCAGTGATTAATCCTCCTGGTCTAGGTCAGCTACCACCTGGAAGCGCTATGATTCATGAGGGTGAAAGTTCCGCGAGTGGTCAACTTTGTCTGGTAGAGGCTGGTGTTCTTGATGGAGTGCATGAGCCTGGAGTACATGAGCCTGGAGACCGTAGCGGATGAGCATGAAGGTAACGTACTCTACGTCCACAAGAGGTACTGAGGGGCTGCTGTAGGTCGCTGGTCTATGTAGACCGACTGGGCAACCAAGACCCCCAAGCTAGTGCTAGACTCAAAAGGTCGATGGGGTTGTAAAAAAAACACGAAACCTTAAAAGACATTTAAACCCTAAACACCCTAAACCTTAAAAGACATTTAAACCCTGAAAACCCTAAACCTTAAAATCTTAAACCCAGAAAACTTTACAACGACATAATTTTTTTTTGATGCTTGCCTTTTGTCCTGGCCCCTACTAAATTTAGTAAAAGGTTTTTTTATGCTTAAAAAGTTTTTTTTGATGCGCTGGGCGTATGTTTTTTGATGCTCAAAAATTTTTTGATACCTCACCCGCGGGTGAGGTATCAACATTTTTTCAAGGATCAAAAAATACGCCCAGCGCATCCCATTTTTTAAGCATCAACATTTTTTTAGGGTTTTTAGGGTGTATGGTTTTTGAGGAGCTTTTAAGGTTTTTACAGTTTAGTGTTTAGGTTTTAGTGTTTTTGGGGTTTAGGGTTTTTTAGGGCTTAAGGTTTTTAGGACTTAGTGTTTGTTAGGGTTTAGGGTTTCAAGGGTTCAGTGTTTTTAGGGTTTAATGTTGTTACGGTTTAAGGTTTTTAGGGTTTAGTGTTTCAAAGGGTTTGGGTTTTTAGGGTTTAGGGTATTTAGGGTTTAGGGTTTTTATTGTTTAGGGTTTGTAGGGTTTAGGGTTTTTAGGATTTAGGTGGTTTTTTTGTTTTTCATCATGTTTTAGTAAGTTTTTAAGGGTTTTGCGGTTTAGGGTTTTTAGGATTTAGTGCTTTTAGGGTTGAGTTTTTTGGGTTTAGGTGGTTCTATTGTTTGTAATGTGTTTTTAAGGAGCTTTTAAGGTTTTTACGGCTTAGTGTCTTCAGGTTTTAATATTTTTGGAGTTTAGGGTTTTTAGGGTTTAAGATTTTTAGCGCTTAGGGTTTTTTAGGGCTTAGGGTTTTTAGGGTTTCGTGTTTGTAGTGTTTTTAGGGTTTAATGTTTTTAGGGTTTAGTGTTTTTAGGGTTTAGGGTTTTCAAGGGTTTGGGTTTTTAGGGTTTAGGTGGTTTTTACGGTTGAGGGTTTTTAGGGTTTAGGGTGTTTAGGTTTGGGGTTTTTAGGGGTTAGGTGGTTTTTAAGTTTTAGTGTTTTTAGGATTCAGGGTTTTTAGGGTTTAGGGTTTTAGGGTTTAAGGTTTTTGGGGTTAAGGTTGTTTGTAGGGTTTAGGGTTTTGAGGGTTTAGGTGGTTTTTAGGGTTGAAGGTTTTTAGGTGGTTTTTAGGGATTAGGGCCGCTAATGGTTTTGGCTCTTCTCGGTAAGTTTGCAGGCCTCCAAGGTTCAAAAACCATAAAAATCTCATTTCGTCCAAAACTTAAAAAACTGCAAATCCATTGTCCCTGCCAGTGTCTTCGAGATTCCGAGACGGAGCAGAGGGCCTGAAATTCCAAAATCTGAAGCCTGGCTGGAAAGGAAAATCATTGGCCCTGCTAGTATATCGGGATTCCTCCGGGCAAACCTTCCTTTTTTCCCCGTAGAAGTAATAGTAGGAGTAGTAGTAGTGGTAGTAGTAGTAGTTGTAGTAGTAGTAGTAGTAGTAGTGGTGGTGGTGGTAGTAGTAGTAGTAGTAGTCGTAGCAGCTCATAATGAAAATAGTAATGACAACACTGGTGTTGTTTCGATCATTATTATGATCCGCGCTACCTCCCCCTACAGCCAACATGATGATGATGTGATTGGTTTACGGTAAGCGTGGACGGTTTTTAAAAAAGCGGGGGGTGGGGGGGGGGCGCAGCTCCCCCCATTTGCCAACAAAATGATCCGCAAAACCTTCCCCTGCTGCAAACATGGTGATGACTCATGACATGTTTGTTTAAACCGTAAGCATGGATGGCCCCTTCCTTCCTTCCTTCCTTCCTTCCTGCCTTCTTGCCTTCTTTCCTTTTCCTGTTCTCCTCCCGTCAGGGTGTTGGGTCGAGGCCCAGAAAACATTCCGGATTGGTGTACTCCCAAGCAAATAAGCAATAGGTCCTTTTTGATGCTTCAAAAGTTTTTTATGCTTAAAAAGTTTTTTGATGCTTATCAAGTTTTTCTAAGCCTATCCCCTAAGGCTTAAAAAATTCCAAAGACGTGATCACATGTTTGTAAGACATCAGTGGTTGTCTTCAAGCTGTACTTGCAGGTCCAGGTTGCACACAGGATTCCCTAGTGACCACTACATGCTTCTCACGGAAATACAAGTCAAATTGGCACATAGACCTCCCAGACCACCCCCCAAACTTAACCTTACTAGTATTACCCCATCCCAGGTCATCGAATTTAACGCTAAGGTTCGGGAGTCCCTCACAGGTGAGCAGAGAGTCATCGAGCACACTCACCCGACAGACCACTCCGCAGTTCATTTTTACACGGATGGTTCCGGTAGCTCGGGCAAATGTTCTGCTCAAACTCCTGCCGGGTGGGGTTGGTGCTATCAACAGGGGGACGCATGGATTGAAGCTTGCAGACCAGTCCCCACCACCTCTGACCACTCCGCTTTCCTAGGGGCAACGGTAGGTTCTCATAATGCAGGGGAGCTATCAGCAATTGTGGAGGCCGTTCCTTATGCTCAGGAAAAGGAATTATCTACGGCAATAATTCACTCTGACAGCAGATGGGCCATTAACATGATCACCGGCAAGTGGTGCCCCAGAACTCATGCTAAATTCATCAACGACATCAGAGCCATCATTAGAGCAGGAACAACACGGGTGGTGCTGCAATGGGTTAAGGGCCACGCGGGTAACGAAGGCAATGAACGTGCAGATAGGTTGGCGGACGAAGGCAAAGATTCGCAGCAAAGGCGTGGCGGCCGCACACTCATCCGACACCTTCCCATAGAGGACAGACCCCAGACAACAGTAACCGACATCGCACGAGCCATGAAATCAGCCAGCGAGGACGTTTTCACTTGCTTCAAACGCAACCCTCGTAAACCATAGATCTCTGAGGACACACTGCAGGCAATGCACCAGGCTAGACAAGCTGAACATTCCGCTCACCCGGACAGCCGCAAGCTACGAAACATTGTTAAAAGAAAGGCCCGCAAGGACCGCGTTAGTTGGATACACGATAGGCTTAAGGAAGACCCGCAGGCCAACAACAAGTCCATGTGGGGTACTGTTAGACAACAAAAACGAAGTTTTGTGGGTAAACGGTCACACCTTGTCCAGGACGGAAAACCAGTTCCATGGTCTCAAACGCACGAGGCGTTTCGTAACTACCTCCAAGACGTGCAGTGGTCGCAACGCATCAACCCTGACCACTCCGACGATATCTTTGGTAATAGGCAGCCCTTAAGGCCGCAGGCTCGTGACACTGAACAGTTTACTATCGAGGAGCTTCAATGGGCCCTTAAGAAACTGAAGCCCAGAAAGGCCTCCGGGCCGGATAGCCTACCCGCAGAATTGTATGCTCTATTTGACCACTCCTCGGAACAATTGCTGCTAGATCATTATAACGGTGTCCTTGCCACAGGCTCCTGCCCCCCTTCATGGAAGGAAGCTCTAGTCGTTAGTATCTATAAGGGCAAGGGAATGGATACATACCCCGCTTCGTATCGACCAATCTCCTTGCTTAACAACATTTACAAAATATTCGCGGCCATGCTACAACGTCGGATATCTAGAGATGCGGAGCAACACATCCGCAGCACGCAGTACGGCTTCAGGCCAGGCAAGGGCACTAGGCACCCGCTGTTCATCCTCAGGCGTGCTATGGAATGGTCGACAATGCGTAACACCAACCTACATCTATTTTTTTTGGATAGGAAACAGGCGTTCGACTCCATTGACCACTCCGCCATGGTAATTGCTGTAAGACGTTTCGGGCTCCCAGAAAATATGCTGCAAGTCATATCATCATTGTACGATTTTCCATCGTTCACTGTAAGAGGCATGCACGGCATGGAGGCACAGGGAGAGGTTCAGTCAGGAATCAGACAGGGATGTCCCCTCAGCCCATATCTGTTCATCATAGTTCTGTCAGTTATTTTCCACGACGTAGATAAAGCCATGTTGTCTCAATGATTTGGAATATGCTGATGACACGCTCCTGATGGCCCTGACCACTCCGCAGTTACAGAGCATACTTAAACTCATTGAAGAAGAGGCTGCTCTGTATGGTATGGCTCTTAACAACACCAAGACGGAACTCTTAAATCACCCAGACCACCCCTCCGCTCCTTCATATTTTGCGGATGGCACGAAAGTTCCGCTAGCTGATCAGGTCATGTACTTGGGCTCCCTAGTCTCCTGGCTCAAACCTTTCGAAACGGCCTTTTTCCACAGAGCCTCCATAGCTGAAACCTCCTATAAGAAGCTTAGGCTGGTCTGGAACAGCTCTCTCAGTAAAAAAACAAAGATACGTATCTTCCAGTCTACTTTTTGGTCAACGCTTATATATGGGCGGGACGCATTCCCTCTGACCACTCCGCAGCTCAAGCGAATCCACGCATATTATCACAGATTTCTTAGAAGGGTTATAGGAATCAAGGCTTCATACTATTCTAGAATCCCCAACCACTCAGTCTGGAGACAGGCCGGATACCCCAAGCTCCCATCCACCCAACTCAACAACCTGCAAGGTAGTATGATGGAAGAGGAATTGTTTACGTTATACACCGATCCCTTGCATAATGTAGTATTCTGTAGCTCATTCAAAGATAGAATACTTGCACAAGGCCGTAAAAGGGGCATGTAATTTCCTATTGGATAAAAGTAGTCTCCAAAAAGTTCTACCCTGAAATTTGGCATGACCACTCTTTCCAAGTAGGTCACCCCTATACTTTCGGACCTCAATTTAAGTATGTGGAGCTAGCCCAGAAGCTGCGGACAGAAAAAGAGCAGGCGTCAAAGCGCGCAAACACAGAGCGCGCATGACCCCAGCAAAAAACCTAAAAACCCTGAACCCTAACAACCCCCAGCCCTAAAAACCTTAAACCCAAAAAAATCCTAAGCCCCCCCAAAAAATCATTAAATTGTAAAAACCTTAAAAGCTCCTTTAAATGCATTTAAAGCCATAGAGCCACCTAAACCTTAAAAACTTAATCCCTAAAAACACTAAACTCCAAAAACCCTCAACCCTAAAAACCCAAAACCCTGAAAACCGCCTAAACTCTAAAAACACTAAACCCTAAAAGCCCTAAACCCTAAAAACATTAAACCCTAAAAACACTAAAAACCCTAAAAACCCTAAACCCTAAAAACATTAAGCCCTAAAAAACACCTAAAGCCTAAAAACACTAAACCCTAAAGACCCTAAACCCTACAACCCAAAACCCAACAAACTTTACGACGACATGAAGTTGTTTTTTGATGCTTGCCTTTTGTCCTGGCACTACCACCACTACCAGTACCCAGACGTCAACGACATAAAGCTTTTTTTTGATGCTTGCCCCTTGTCCTGGCCCCTACTAAATTTAGTGCAAAAGTTTTTTTGATGCTTAAAGAGTTTTTGTGATGCGCTGGGCGTATGTTTTTTTGATGCTTATAACTTTTTGATACCTCACCCGCAGTTCTTCCAATGTGGCAGCGTTTGTCCCCGGTGATGAACTGTGCATCTAACTGCTATGACATATGTAAACCTGGCTCGCACTCCATTGAAGAGCCTGGCACCAGAGGTACAAGCAAAGCATCAGCTTTTGAGATGCAGATGCTGCCGGTGCACGTGTGGACTTCTTGAGGTTGCATGTGGATTGCGCGCAGATGCGGACACAGCGAGATTCTGCATTGGCAGAGGTGGGTGTCAAGTGTTCTGAATGAGTTCATCCCTAAGAATGTATACAAAGGTGCCGCATTTGAAATCATCCCTTCAGCAGCAAGATGTGCTCATGAAGGATTTGGAAAACCAGGCCAATACTGCTAATGACCTTCCGACAGTTCTGATTACTCGCGAAGTGCAGCCTTCCTTTCAGGTAGCTGCTTTGCAGCAGCAGTTGCAGAAGAGCGATGATGCAAACGGCCGAATGGATCAGGAGGCGGGCCTTTGATGCGCCTTCACGAAATCTCAAGCTGTGCTTTCTCCATTTCAGGTGAAGCGTCTCGCATTTGCGCTCGACAGATCTCGAGAAGACGGGGCGAGGCATGAGCAGGCAGTGGGACCTCAATTTACCATGGAACGTCGCTCGTGCACACATGTTGCACGGTGTCAGGTTTCCCTTTCGCTACGGGTAGAAAGGACGAGATTGCTTGAGGCAGTCGGTAGTCTTTGTGGATTTCAAGCAGTCGGTTTATGACATCCTGCCATCATGAAATATGTCGCTGAGAGTTTTGATAGGTATTGGAAAGACTGCGACGCGGCAAGGCCACAGTTTTTTGAGAAGCTTGTGAACAATGGTGATTCAGTCGGCTTGAGGGGTGCTTGCAGGCGGAGAGTGATCTGCGGGCCTCAGCATCTGTCAACGACCACGGGCTATTGCAGGTTGCGGAGCTGTAATATGTGCAAAGCTTCAATCCATTAGGACCAGTCCTTGAGGCCCACATCGAGCAGATGAATGCCGAGCGTGAACAGCTGCGACTAGCCTAGATGTGGCAACTCGTGATTTTCCAACTGGGCAGTCGCTACTTAGAAGTTCAATTTGAAGAGCTGGAATGGCGAATGCCATAGAGATCGAACTCTGGCTTAGCCCCGAGCAGGAATCTGGACTTTGGAGCTTAGGATGACTGTGGGGGAATAGCATTGTCCAGTGTGGAACGACTTGGAATGTCGTCTAAGTGCTTGGCCACTCCAATTGATAATTGCCCCCTTCAAGAGCCTTCTCAGCATTTTTCAGGTGGAGCCGCTTCGGAGGGCAGAGGTCAACACAACACGTTTTTCTGTTGAGGCAGCTCCAGCTCAACCATGCAACTTCCGAGACATCGGCCATGAGGACATGGAATGCCAAGAAGGTTAAAGAACAAGAAGGGAATATGCTCTGCCCGGATTGTTGAAGGAGCCGTTTGGCAGGGTTGGAGCAGATGGCTCGGTCCTCAGACGGGAGTGGACTGGAGCGGACTAGAGCGTGCCAGATGCTGAGCTTTGACTAGCTCATGAGGTGCAGGCATATGCAGATGAGTCTTCCACATTGCAGCAGAAGGCCCAAAGCTGCTTAGCTATTTCCTGGTTGTTGAGTTCTTGGAGCTTCTTGTGAGGAATGCATCCTAAATGTTGCCAATCACATGGATTGGGCGGGTCTATGTTGTGCTGTTTTGCATATCCTGCTGTGTTCTGGTGTCATGTGTTGGTATTATCTTCTTATGCCATCGTGTCTGTATGCTGTGTTATGTCGTCTTCTCTTCTCTTCGTTATTTGTGCATATTTGTGCAGATCGCACGGTGTCTCATGTTGTGTCAGGGGTTCCGCTACTGTTTTTGCACATTGCGTTGTAGCGTGTTGGTGTTCTTATGGTGTCTTCCTGTTGTGTCTTGACATTCGTGGATCCTGCAAGCTTTTTGTCATGGAGTCCAGGTTGGACTTGATGACATTATGAGTCACGTGCCAAACGGACTATGCAGTAGCCCTGTGAATGTGGCAATCTTGTTGGTGTGAGAGCAGTTGCATGCCTACCTTCCACCTAGCAGACTTGAAGGCATGATGTGACATTCTCAAAGCTTGCATGCCTGAGCCTGTTGGCGTGCCAATGACCTTTCATGCTTCGAGTGAACTAGCAGGTCATTGTTTGATAGGAAGCAAAAGCATTACCGCTCTACCAGGTGTCCTCCCTGCAAGATGACAAGGTGCAGAACTGGCGTCGTGTCGGCATGTTCAGGATTCCAAAGCTGCCAGGACGAGCTGCAGGAAAAGTTGGACATGGCACCGAGGGCATCAAGGAGTCCTGAAAGAAGTTTGATTCAGCCAGGGCCTCGTACCGGACAGTTGTTTTTGCAGATGAAAATTACCATTACTCACCAAACGGGATGAGAGGCCAGGTAGACGCGAGCAAAACACCCCAAGGCACAACCATTGCACTTGCCCTGGTAGGCATGAAAAGCCGTAGATTTACCAAGGCAAGAAAGCTGAACAACCAAGTCTCTGCGCAGCTGCAGTTTTTTTGGCACGTGACAGCTTTTATGAACGTTCTGTTGGGCAGTCACGTTGCCTCCTCATACTTTTCTGCCTCCGTTTCCTTTCCGCCCGCCAGCCCTCGCTACTTTGGTTCCACCGGCTTGGGTCCTCGCGTACCTTCTGCCCTTCTCTTGTGCTGTTCCACTCTTCGTCTTTTCGTGTTGTTGGCAGCCTTCCCCAATTCTTTAAGCGTGGTGTGCACATTTGAGAGAATGTGCACATTCTCGTGGTTAGTCTGTCATGGATTCTTCAAATCAATCATGCGCGCACCACGTCCCAGGACGAGTTTCCATGAATTCTGGAAAGTCCTGCAGCAAAAAGAGTTTGCGATCTGAGCGGTTGGGGGCACGTGTGCAGGTGTTGATTATTGTTGAAGAGCTGGTTTTCAGCCTTTGCAGACTTATCTGATTTTCCAACCAAGTTACCCTCGAGTGGACGCAGTTTTGAAAGACCAGACCGACATAGCCAAGCATATGTGAGATCAGACGCTCCAAGAGTGCAATGCGAGCATTCTAGGCATCTTCTGAACACCCACTCATCGCACACGTAAGCTTTGTGTCCAAGGCCGGTCGGATCCCAAGGATGGGCACTCTGAGTGCTCGCTTACATCATCGTCTCACGCTTGTGCGTTCAGCGCGAGTTGGAAGCGTGTTCCGAATCACGATGCTGTGGTTTTCCATTCTCGTGTTAATGCTAGTTGACCGACAGAAGCGCGGAGGAAACTTGTGCATGGGGATGCAAGAGCATTCCTCCACCTGAAGGAAGCACTTCGCTGCCTGATTCAAGCTCCATGAAGGGTTTAAGGAGGGCCGAGCCGCTTGCAGATCGTGCAGGCATGGCCAGGCAGGGCTGACAGAGCTGTAGACCCGTCAACAATGCCATGCCTGGACCCGAAGGTATATGCGGCCTGCCTGCCTTTTGGCTGTTGTTTGGCTTGTGGTCGGGGGCTCGTGCCAGATGTTTAGAGCCCTCCTTGACATGGAAGTGGCTTAAAAAACCCTCGATACATCGACTCTCAACACATGGCGGGCAGCCGTGACTCAGGTCAGTTTGCTACAGTTTCGATGGCGGAATTTTGCAGTCTTGAGGTCAACAGCAAGAAGGCTTTGTCCGCCAGCACAGATCCTTTGGGTTTCGCATGTGCGAGCGAGGAGTACCTCTGGCTCCCGGCTAGTAGACTGGAGATATCAGCCGTGCGCTGGATCCTTTGTTCAGGAGCCTTTGAGTGTAATGGTCTTTGTGCACACAAGTTGAGGTCCGTGCACAGCTCCCTGCAATGAGACTCGGCCCGGGCGGTGGCTCTGACCCGGCGCGCTGAAGCGCGAAACGTGCAAATTACAAGAATTTCTTGCCACTTGCCTGAAGGTTAACAATGTCTCGCCAGAAATGGCAGCTGCGGGCCGAAAATATGCTCAAAAGTATGAGGCTGACAAGGGGCCATACAGGGGAAGCGGTTGTTTTTGCAATGAAACCATGTTGGCGGATGTCTGCAACCGTGAGGACATCATGTTGGCCGGACGGCAGGTTTGGCAGGAAATGCTGAAGAGGGACGAGGCCGATCATTCACAAACATCAGACATTGTCATGGTGAGGCATGCTTGAATTCATCTGAGGTGCCGAAGAAAATTTATTTTATTGGCACAAATGGCAACACAGGCGCTGCTGTTATCGAGAAGCATGACTGTAAAGTCGCATCATGTTACATCCCATTTCGAAGAGCCAGGAGAAGCTGACTGGATTTAATTCGCCTAGTAAGCTACTCATTCTCTGCAGGGTTGGATCCTGATGCCCGAAACTTACCAAGAGTTCACCTGGCTTGAGCCAACATAGGGCACTATCATCCTAATCAGGCTTGCGGGAGCACCATAACAAGAGGTTCTGCGTTCTGCCTGGGGTCCAGGCCTAGAGAATTCTTCTCCAGAGCGCAGACAACCAAACGAGGATTATAGCTCCAGAAGCTGCTAAGACACCTTGTTTAAGAGCACCAAGCCAGCTAGGATCGCCTGCATGTTGGGCCAAGCAAGGACAAATGCAATCTTCAGGACAAAAGGCAGTCGGGCAGGTAGAGGAAACGGGTGGAGTTGGCACCTGCTCTGACAGAAAGAAGTCCAAAATCAATAGTCTGGCATTTCCAAAGGTGAGCTGGCTTTTTGTGTGACAACCGCGGGATTTTGCGGTATTGTTGAACTAGTCTTTGAAACATCGCAAGCATTTGAGAAGACTGAGAGAACTGCCGAGGACTCTTTGAGATTTGGCGCTACCAAATGCATGCAAGTTCAGTTACAAGTAGTGGAAGGTGAGATGGTTGCAGAAGCCTTGATGGATTCGCTAGCGCTGAGAGCTCAGCATTGCTGTGGCATGGAACTATCCTTGTGTGTGAATCATGCGGACATGCTGTGAATCTCAGGTATGTCCCAGCTCCGGATGGGACTTTGTTCCTTCGTAGAAAGCCTTGAGCTCAGTGTCCCAGACTGAGATCGGCTTAGAACAGAGCTGGAGCCTGTGCAGCTGCTAGGCCCGGTGTGGATTACCCCAAGCTGAAATATTTCCTCGGGAACTCCGATAAGCAGGCAAAATGCAGACTCAAATATGTATGGGTTTTAGCTGCAGAGTGGCATCTTCAGAATGTGCCGGCAGTGGAGACAAGTTGTGAGACGCAGTGTCAGGATCATAGTGTGTGGCAGGTAGGCTAGCTGGGAAGAACAATGCAAGGTTGGAGAATTTCCTCGTCTAGTGTTTCCGTCAAGTTTGCTGGGTAGGACTGCAACACGTCTTCTCCCGCCAATTCCCGCCAAAGTTTACATCTGCATCACGCGCATGCGGCACTTACCCAGACGCCCCCCCACCAGAATGCAACAACACATATTTTGGAAAGCTCTACAGAGGTGCATAATTTCCATGCTGTGGGCTTGATTCTCCTTGAAGTCGCACAACCACTTGCGCAGAAAAGTTCACATGTAGCATGGAAAGCTCTGCCTGACGAGTTAGCAGCGAAAGCTCCGAAATCGGCAGTCGACTTGTACATGGAAGACGAGAAGGCGCAGCATACAGGAAAGATCTGCAGAAACCCTTTCCCTGAAATGTTATGTAGATGAGAACTCCTGGCAGAAATACCGCGAGCTGGAGACGGAGGTCCTGAAGGAGTTTCAAGCCCGCGTGGATACCTCAGATGTGACAGCACGCGCGGCCGTTTAGCATGTGCACATTTGCGCAGCAAAGGAGACCGATGGTCTGCCTGCTGGCATGATTGTTGGTGAAAGTGCGGTCAGCATACCGGAGAACGTAGCTTGCCCAGCTGCAGTTCCATCATCAGCAGCATGGTACTTCCGTCTGGCAGTCCTGTCTCACAGGTTGAAATTCTGAAAACTGGATTGGTGATTTGGCTGGACGTTTCGGCAGAGTTCAGCTGGAGCTCTGTCATCACCTGGTATTCAACTTGTGCTGAAGTCTGTGCGCAGTGAGGAGCAAGACGCAGATGAGAGCAAAAGCTGGGGGGGGACTCTTCATCCCATATGAGATCATCAGGTGCCAATGCCGTGTGCCTGGATGTCATGACTCCAGATAGGCAAGCAAGAAAATGCAGGCCGCCAGTTTGGTGCATTGCAAACGGCTGGGATGGTGATATTGATGACGGGGAGGCAGCCTTCGAGTGTCAAGGGGACTTTCATGTGGAGATGAATCAAGTCATATAGATACCTGTTCAGGCAAAGGCCGAATATACTGCAATGGTCGAGAAGTATGCTGAGAAATACGAAGAGATCGCAGACCTCCGTCTTCGAGCAGAGCTGTTGGCTGCATTGGTAGTCAATCAGTTTGCCCCACTCGAGAACCAGGCTTTTAGGCCTGTGCGTCTGCGCAGCTTTGATTTGAGCCTGTGCGTCTCCGTGCCCGCAGCAGCCATCTTTGCAAGTCTTTTGCGAGCTGATTGTTCAAGGATACTCCGGGAATTGTTGAAAACCAGTACTGGGGCGCACAGCGATTGGCCAAGGCCAAATCCAATCAGCATTGCAAAGAATTACTGCAAAACAAGTTGCATGTGGAGGCCATGGCTGAGTTTTATGGTATTGACACAGAGGGAGCCTCTGTCGAGGAGGCTGCTGAGTCATCTCTTTTTGGCTCTGTGGGGTGCACCAGCCATGTTTGCTGAGCAGGAAGTCTTGGAACGTGACCTTGAGAAGTTTTTGGAAAGTGCTCGCCTCTCCAAGTACATGCAGGCTGAAGTTTCAAAGGTTTTCGTCAGCAGCATGACGTGACACATGTAGTGCCCAATGGCAGTCACAGGCAGCTCTGGATTGGTCCGAGCCAAAGAGTTTTTTTTAAAAGAGAAGTCTTGCTGTCATGTCGTTGCCAGGTGCGATGAACAGGGTGCAGCTTCCATTGAGGATCGGCACAAAACAATTTCAACAGTTCAGAAGTAGCCTTGAGGGGTGGGGTGTGTACACAGATTTTTTTGCGAAGAGGATATTGTCGAAAACACCGACGACTTTGCTGAAGTTCCTGCCTTGGCACTTCTGCACCTTGTCTGCCAATATGCTTTGGAACTCGCGGCTGAGGCACTCTCGCTGAAGCCGCTAGAAAGGAAGCGCCTTTTGAAGGCTGCTGAATCTGTCCTCTCCCTGGCTTCGTTCCCGTTGCACGCAGCGCATTTTGTTGAGTCCGTCATTTTATCCGAGGTTGCCGCTGTCGCATAAGGCTGCTGAGCTGTGACAACGAGCCGACCATGGCATGGACTTGTAGGAAGTGCGGTACATCTAGACTTTCTGGCTGTCACAGCTCAGTGCCAGCCATACAGAGTTAATGTCCGTGGCACGCGATAGGCTCGACAAAGGGCCAAGTAGTACGTCCCCATCTTATCGCAGCGGAGATTTGAGCCAAAGCAATCGCCTGCTCATTCTCACAAAAGCTGCGCTTGTCCCAGCAGGACCAGGGTTCTCCAAAGATTTCCTGGGTCTCCGCAGGTGCTTGCGGAAAAACGTGCACTGGGCAGGCCTGACAGATTTTGCTAGTGGCAGGCGTGCATCAACAGGGCTCAATTCGCCGTCCGTTTGTTCTATAGTGGCAGAGGAAAACACAATTTCAAGATTCTTCCCACACATCTCCTGCCCAGTGCTGCAGAGGCACATCCCAGCAAATGGTGCAGAGATGTGCAGAGTGAGCAGGTACAGTGCATAGTGAGTCGGCCGCTTGAGCATGGGAGCCTTCCTCAGCCATGACCAGGACAGCTGCAGTCCTGGCACTTTCATTTGCCAAGCAGTGCACACGCTGGAGATGCGCAGGAGCCAATCAGAACCTCCATTGGCAAGGCTGTAAGAGCTGGTTCATATCTGATACTACAGCGATGGTATGCTGCTTCGTCTAGTGTAGTCTCTTGCAGGATGAAGTGCTGCAGCTTCGCAAGAAGCATTTCTGCCCGGCGCAAAGTGTCTCCTACGCCAACACGGACCCGCCAGGGCCACATATGCATTTCAAACCGGCACGTTTTCTTCTGTGACATGTCGCCGAACAAGGCTGCTCATAGTCCGTGGCCAGGGCAGCTATCTTTATGACGAGGAAGACAATGCGTGCCCCAACATGACAGATCTCCGGAACGTGGGGAAGCTGTCAGGATGTCACTATTCGAGGTATTTAGACACTCGCAACAACGTGTGTCATGCTGGATCCTCAAGAGCTCTAAACCCGTATGGTCAGTTCAGCCCTGTTTGGCCTTGGCATGCTTGGCGGCGCAAGGTGGGACATAGCCACCCACGGGTAGCTGCTGCAGTCGCAGATCAGGTTTCCAAGCTCAACACCAACACCAGGCCTGTTGTCATGTAAGCTTGGGTCTTAAGTCTCACGTGCTTGACAGATGCTACCTCTATGCCAAAAACTAGAAACTTTAAACCCATGGTCCAGGTACTTGCATCCCAATCTTTGCCTGCTCGCAAAGCGTCTGACGGAGACCTTTCCCGCTGGAAGTGGCCTGGAGGCTGCGACCTACTTGGTCTGCAGTTGGATTGGCAGCATGAAGGGTGTGCGTCTGCGTGCGTGAGATGTCTTATCACGCGGGTTCAGCTGTGTAGACATGGTTGAGCGCTAATGCTTGACCAGCAAAGTTTACCATCAAAAGCACCGCAAGCTTCAAAGCGAAGAATGTACATCCCGGCATCCTGGTGTGCACTACTCGCAGACCGCATCCCACTTGCAGCAGCTGTAACGTTCAGTCTGGGAACCCTGTTCGAAGTGGTGGCTGCCTACTGCAGCTTCTGATTGTACTTGGGGATGATTTCCTGTGGCTTCGGTTACGTTTGGGTTCAGATCTGGAACTCTGCCTCAGGTGTGCTTTTTTGTCAACTCCGGTTCCGAGGAGCGCTGGTGACAGTGTATATTCAGGCTTTGCAGCATACGTGCTCAGCAGGCTAACGATCTTGCCGTGAGACTGGCATTTGCTCGTTTGGGTCTTACTTGCTGTAGCTCAGAGGCTCAGATTATCTCAGTTTGCCAGCCTGCTGTTCTTAGCCAGGTACACGCTCTCGCAATGTGATAGTTGTGGACCATGGGTGGCGCTTCTCGCAGTAGCATGCGAAACTGTTGTTGGACCTTCTTGTAAGGATGCCAAGCGATGTAAATGTTCGGCTAGCAAGGTATCACGGCCACACCCAGCAGACCATTGAGTGCCACAACTGCAAATGGATTTATCCACAATGAGAAATCTGCAGATCTTGATGCCAGATCCCAGGATCAGCCCGTACAAGTTTGATCACAAAGGTGGTGAAGGTGCAAGGCCGAACATCCACAAGGTGCCTTGCCAGAGAAAAGCAGCCACCTTCATGCCAGCAAGACCTACACTGATCGCGTTTGTTCTTGAAAGCCCACAGCAGAAAGTGCGAGCGCAAAATGAGAGCAACACGTCTTTCAGTCTGGTCTTTCTGCTCAGTGGCTTGCTGGCATCATCTCTCAATGTCAGGGCTTCTGCCAGGCCCAGACTGCCAGGGGGAACCGGGAAGCCCTCGAACCTGAGAATCAAGGCTCTACAAAAAGTGCTGTTTGCCTGGACCTAGGCGCTCAGTCCTTGAGCTGGCTACCCAGCGAATACTTCAGACTTGAGATCGTTTTTCAGCCGATGCGTTGAAGTGTGATAGAGGCCCACGGAATTGAGGTTTCCCCAGCTGACAGGAATGACAGCAAGAAACGTCGGGATCAGGGAACCAAACGATAGAGTTGCTTCCGGCAAAGGCCATGTCAAGGCAGGCAAAAACAGGACTTGTGTTGAATGAGCTGTCACAAAGATGTACCTTTGAGAGGTGCCCTGTCCTGATACTTTCCGTGGACTTCACCGTGGTCCGGATGCGGCAGAACAGTACGCATCCACTGTAACGGAAGCCTGCAAGGCTGCAGGGAGTGTTGCAGCTTTCTTTGTCGAATCGGGCATGTCGGTGGGCGGTGTGATCCTGCCACCCAGAGGCTATTTACAAGCAGCTTATTCTGCGGTTCGCCAAGCTGGAGGCATTTGTGTGGCTGACGAAGTTCAAGTTGGATTCGGGCGCTTCGGCGATTTTTTCTGGGCCTTCGAGGAGCAGGGCGTTGTGCCAGACATTGTGACAATGGGCAAGCCTTTTGGAAACGGCATGCCTTTGGCTGCAGTAGTGACAACGAAGGCAGTCTCCGATGCATTTCACAATGGCTTAGAGTATTTTAATACTTTCGGCGGCAATCCTGTTTGTTGCGCCGCCGGTCTGTCTGTGTTGGAAGTGATTCGTGAAGAGAAGCTGCAAGACAACGCCGCGAAGGTTGGTAAATACATTTGTGAACAAATTCGGCAGCTGTCGACAAAGCATGAGCTCATTGGTGATGTGAGGGGCCGCGGCCTGTTCATTGGGATTGAGTTTGTCCGTAATCCAGAAACACTTGAGCCAGCAACAGCAGAGACGTCGGAGATTTGCTCTCGGATGAAGAGTGAGCACAAGATTCTGATGAGCATTGATGGGCCGCATGACAATGTTCTGGTCATAAAGCCGCCCATGTGCTTCTCGTTGACGGATGCAGATCGAATGGTCCGCGCCATGCGTGAGATTCTGTCCACGCTCGTAGGTCCCGTTGCTGGTCAACACGTAGCGCACACGCCGACGTGAAGTCCGGTTGAAGTGAAGAAAATGTTCTCCCAGGCTGAGTGATGCACCGTTTGCCCTTGCACAGTGTGGCTGCTCCCTGCTGCTGGCTCATAGGTTAACCCTCCTCATGTCAGCAGTCCTGCCGCAGCCCCATTGAAGACTACGTTAGGAGCGGAACGCATCCTTGTAGCTAAGCCTACCTATTCTTGTAAGACACCATGCCTTGGAAGATGGAATCTGAGCAGTCAGAAGGCTCCGAAAGGACTTCCTGCTGCTTGCATGGATTTCCCCGGAGTAGAATCAATCCTATGGGGTTGCAAAACAAGCCCGGTTATTAGATTTGATTTTAAGAAGGATAGGCCAGTAGTTGCATTATGTTGCATTACCACCTCCATTTCTTGGAAAAACGATAAAGAGGAATAAGCAATGCTCAGTGGTAATTGCCTCGACTCCAAGCCCCAGAGCCTGGACATCGACGCCCCCCGAGCTGGGGCCAGAATTTGTGAAACACGTGGTGTCCAAAACGAGAATAAAATGACAACCAAAACGATAATGCGATAATGCTAGTTTCCGGGAAGTAGGCTTTGCCGGCCGTGGTATTTCCTGTCAAATTTCTCACTACCATCGAAATGAGGTGCTGAAGAACCCATGTACACCTGCAGAGGTGATGTCTGCAGTGAAAAGGAATATCTTCAGGGACGCAAAATTTACTCTTTGGACAAAGCCTCAACCGACTTATCTTCACAATGCTAACCCTAAGCCCGAAACCTTAACCTCCCATGCTGAGCCCCAAACCCAGATACTTGTCGGCATGTAGCGCAAGCACAGTGAGATTTCTAGAGCCAACGTAGACTAGTATGATATAGAAGTGCTGAAGCCTTTTCAAACGGTGTAGAGGACAATGAAACAATAATGTTGGACAGGGGTAAGAGACATTAGAGATTTACCTAGGGGTTCTCTTGTAAATGATGTTTCAAAAGCCCAGTGCCTTCTTGATTGCAGCCCCAATGCAGCTTGCTTAAGCCGCCTCGGTCTGGCCACCGAAGTTATGAGAAGGTTTGGGCTCAAGAATCATGGGAGCTCCGAAGCATATGCTGAAGCATCTTCTTTCTCTTTCCCTTTCTGTCTTTCTGTGTTCTTCTCCTTTTTCTTTTTTTTTCCATTTCCAGAGGACTCCTGGCCAGAAGCCTCCACAGGAGCCGACGGCCGCGCGAGGAGCGTTGTCGGCTCGTCGTACGGCTTCTTGTAGACGCGTTGTTGTGTGTGTGAGTTTTTTTGGTGTTTTGTGGGTTCAGTGAAAGGATTCGAACACGCAGTGCCGCAGGCAGGTCATGCACGCTAGGTGTGGAAATTGCTGCAAACACAGAACCTCCATTTTCAGGCGTGGATCTATGGAAGTACCGGAGGCAGGCTAAGCCCACGGCTGCATATCGCAAGGAGCTCTCCGTTCCGTCCTGCATCAGGAATTTTACCTTGTGCCCAAAGCTGGCATCCTCCTGGTAGACTGGTCCAGGGTCCAGCTTCTGCACAGCCTGCTGTGAGGCGTGGGTGTCCTGAAGCATCCCGAAGCCACGCCTTGATTTTCAGATGGTTCAGGCTCCCTGAACACTAAACCTGGCCTTGCTAGGCTAACAAGTTGATTTTCGCTGTAGCAGTACTAGGGGCCAGACCAGGTCTGGAAAGCAGAGAGCAATTGCTTCTAGTGTAGGATGGGGTCGGATGGAGATAGATTCTTTCTCAGAAATCTTGAATCTGAGCTTTTGTGGTGATTGGGTGGGGCGAAATTGCCACATCAAATCGAGATGTACCAGCAGGGGATCTATCTTGTTGCATCAAACCTGTTTCCTCCCTTTCAATACCTTTGCATAATCATGGTGAGAACAACATGATGCTCGGAGCTTGCATTAAACTTTCCTTATCCAGTTTCACTTAGCGACATATCTAAGTGGGAGAGTTGGTAATCAAGGAAAGTCATGAAGTTTTTCACTGAGAATGCCTTTACATCTTTGGACTGTTGGAGCTGCACAGATTTGGAGCCTGTGGACTTCGTTGCGGTATCACGAATGTGGCAGGATGCTTCCACATTCTTCTGGCTGGGCTAGGCGAGGCATCATTCTCTTCCTAGAGTCATGATTTGCTTATCAGAGCACCTCGCGAATGCTGAGACCTTGCACACCGCGCACCGTGGCTGTGCTGAGCTCATACAGTCGCCGGCAGAACATGTCACAAGTGCGATTTGATGAAGACACACGCAAAGATTCCGGCGGCGGGCTACGTCAGGACTGCTGCACCGCAGGCCTGAAAGCGCCCAGTATGCTTGCGTAGTATCGGGGATCGCTTCTGAAGGCTGCAAGACCCCCTCCAGGCCAAGTAGTTGTCGTCACTTGGCAACTATTCGTTTTCCTTAATGTCATGGCAGATGCACAAAAGGCCAAAGGAGTAGACTGGAGCTCCTTTTTCCAGTCGAATGAGCCCCAGGTCCGGGAGCTTTCGCCTGGAAGGTCAGCAACCCAGAGCCTTAGAAGCAGTGTAACTTGACGTGATGCAAGTCACCCAAAAGGCTGTTTGGCCTGCCATGCATCAGTGTTTGGCTGGCGAATCGCCAGTTCAAAACTTTTCGAGCATTCAGGCCCCAAACATGAACTTGGAGCCCAACAACTTCCTTTGAGCTATTAAATGCCCATTTGGAATTGAACCTCTGGAGTATGCATTTCAGAATGCCCGGCGCCAACAGGACTTTGACAAGCCAAAGGAACAGTTTCCATGTTTTTTCGTTGATCTGTCATTTCGAATCCCGTGCGCCAAGTAGACATAATGATAGCGCGCCTGAATTTCCCGACTCCCGAATTGCAGCCTTGAAGAATCCGAAGACCCAGCAACATGATGTCATTTAGCTGGTCTTTTCCTTGGGGTTCCGCCTCAACTGGAGAATCCTCAAGTTCCCTAACTGAAAGGCCATGACGCCGATTTGCCCCAAGGCTGGGGCCCTTGCAAGTCTTCCGAAAGGCCGATTGCCTGCGCGGCACACCCAACGCCACGAACTGCATCACCAGCGATTCCTTCTGTGGGTGGCTCAGCAGACTGTAAAGACTTAGCCTAGACCGATGGGTCGAATTGAGGTTGCTCCTCCAGCTCCTGTGCGCCCGGTTCCACTGCCGCAGGCTGCAAGCATCATCTGGCAAAATCTAGAGTCTACATGTTGATGGCAAGGGCCAGCTTTCTCCACGAGTGCGTTCGCTGTCGCCAGCTGTCGTCGTCAGGCTACGTACGGCAGCCAGAGCGCGTGTGAGGTTTTGGGCCACAAGATCTAAGAACGCAAGCCTGACTAATGTCCTGGAGATGTTCTTCGAGATCCATTAAATTCACGTGGTAGGTCATGTTGTCGTAGCTCCGTCTTCGGTTTGCAGTCCATTCTGCCTCGCTATGTCAGGATGCCTGCGCCAACTCCTTCTTGTCCTGCTCAAATTTCAGCGTGCCAGCCGACACCCAGAACACAAAGTGTTCATTTGGGACCTTTTGCTGGCACTTGCCTGAGTTGATTTGCAAGCTACCTGGGCATGCATTTAGCCCGCAAGCAGGCAACATGCCTGCCTCAACGTCGCCACGGAGAGAGCGTTCAATGTCTCCAATGGGTTTACCGCCCGCCTTGTTCTTGTGGAACACGTGGAAGATGCAAATTGTCCTTGTCTGTGTCCCTTGGCTTTCCCAGGTCCCTGCGCTCTCTGGCATGGGCGCGTCGTGCTTAGCTGCACTTTCTCAAGCCCTTGCCCCTCCTTGTGCCGCGCAATGCTGGCGTCCTTTCGCTTTGGTCTGCACGAACCTGAATCAGTAATTTTTGCAACTTACCCCTGGAGCTTACCCCGCCCCTTAAAATAAAATGACATTAAAATGACAGTAAATGGTGCTTGCCCCATGAAGCTCCAGATCTGCAGGGTCTCAGGTCAAGATTTGGAGGCCCCATCACCTGAAAATTGAAGAGTTCATGGGATTCTCAGAGACACATCTATGAAAGCAAGCAGCCTCATGGACTGCTGCGACCTACGTGAGGCACGCCGGGTAGGGTTGTGGGTTCACGGATATGGGTTGGAGCTGGGCGGGGCCGCTCCGGAGGTTCGTTTCGAGGGCTGGTTGGCGCCGGCGCGGTGCAGTCAGTTTTCCTTTTGGTGGCCAGAAATGTTTTTTTTTTATCTGGGGAGCCCTCCGGACCATGGGGGTGGGAGAGCTTACCCCGGGGTAAGCTCGTCCACCCCCATGCTCCGGCGGATCCATTTGAATATCATTTGAATATCATTTTAATATCATTTTAATGTTTTTGCATTTTATTATCATTTTGTTATCGTTTTGATGCAATTTGGCCCTGGCGTGCCAGCCGCGGGGTTGCCGAGTTTTGGGGGCGCGCGGGGTCAGGCCCCGGCAGGATTTGCGAGAACGGAGCGGGCTGGCCGCCGCGGGTTTTGGGGGCCCAGGGTGGATGTGTGGGAGGGCGGTGGCGGGGGTGGTGGGGTTCAACTTTGAAAAGTAGCCCATGATGGGAGTTCAGACCGTGTGCTGCTTTTCAAAGTAAGCAGCAGAAACTTTCAACCTTGCCACACGACATCATGCAACAGTTGCCTCCTATTCTATTACTATTTTAATGCTATTCTAAAGAAATTTTATTATCATTTTAAGGCTATTATAATGCTATTTTATTGTCATTTTATTGAGGGTACCCGGGGTAAGGTCCCGGGGTCAGTTGCCAACACCTCTGACTGAACATAAGGCGGCAACGCCAGCTGAAGCCCCGACCGCACAGAGGTGCTTGTCACCACGCACTGCTGCAAGCTAAGCGGCTTAGCCAATGTCAGCTGAATCAGAAGACAGCTTTGTTGAGTGCTGCTGAAGGTCATTGTTCGCCATGCAACTCCCCGTACAGTTGCAGCTCCTGTCAAAGTACAGAGTCCTGTCAGTGACCTAGCTGTGGGTGTGTCCGGGATGCCTGGGATGCCAGTGGCATAGAAATGTGGTGCAGGTTCAAGTTCTTGTTACGCCTCGAGCTGTGCCGTGCGGCCGCTTAGAGAATTCCAAAGCTCCTATTCCTGCTCTTTGTGCTGCAGGTCTGGCAAAGGTGTGACACCAGGAAGCATCCTGGCAGGCTGGTGGAGTTTTCCAATTCAGGTTGAGGTGCACGAAGAAAGCTCTGTAAGGCCTCCGAGCAGTCCCATCAGTTCCAAGGACAAGTGTCAATGTAAACGCCTTTCGCGCGAACGCCTCAGCCTCCGGGCCCGGCTTTCAGGGAGGGCCAGGACGCGACATTTCCGTACAATCCATACCACAACCAAGCCATGATTATGTGAAAACCAGGTATCAAGCGTACATATTGTAGATATTGTAGGTGTTTCAGAAGCTGAGTGGGAGTCTTTCAGAGACCAGATTCATTGTCAGAACATCCAGGCCGTGTTAGGAACCAAGGTTTGTCAGGATGCCGTGGGCACAATGTCATAGAAAACTCATCCGGCATGCAGCCTTAGAATTTGTAAACTTGTCTGTAGAATCCCTGCAGGGCAAGTTTGCACCTGCTCGATCTAGAAGTTGAGCAGAACTCAGTATCTAGAAGCCCGAAAATGCCATACTGCGGGAGCTGTCATTGCAAGGTGTGATTCCAAAAGCATCTAAGAGTGATCCGTATTGATAGCTACGGCCACGGCCTTGCTTCCAATCCCCTCAAATTATGTCAGATAGGTTGCTTCAGCTAGGAGTTGGCTTGCAGCTCCAGTTCATCCACTCATGACTTAGGCTACGTTGTCCCACGTACTTCCAAGCAGCACTCAGGTATAGGGTGGAGTCAGGACTTAGGGGTGGAACTGCAGCACATCTACTGTTGTCTCTGGCACAGGGGCCGCTGAGGCCGGCGTTTCCAAGGAAGAAAGTAAAGCGACAGAGCCGACTTACCCCTCAGAACTGCCCGCCTTCGGTCAACCCTGGGGAAAAAAATCGGTAGCAGCCACTACGCCTGCGTTCTACACCCCTGCACAGCTCCAATCACGGAGAGAAAAAGCTGTACGGGAAAAGGCGCTAACACAGGCCCAATGCAGGAGCCCCTGTGCTGCCCAGCTCGGAAGGAGACCGAATCGCAGCCCAGGGAAGCAGCAGTGCGCTTGACTGGCCCAAGCGGAGGCCTCTAATGAAGGAGACGAGGACAGGAGGCTGCGGCATCACGCCGCCACGACGCTTCAAGCTCAGAACGCCTCCGGAGAATGGCTCTGGCCCGGTGCAGGCGCGTGATGACGCAGAGTTCCTGCAACATGCGGGCGTGGACGGTAGAGGACTCATCACCCTGGCGGGCTGCAACAGCCTGAGAAATTAGAAGCAACACAGATGCAGCTTCCCGTGACCAAGCGCCTAAGGCTGCAGCAACAAGGGGCTGGAAGCGGACACCCTGCTGGGAGCAAACGTGGGCGGTGTCCAAATAGACTCCTTGGCGTGGGAGTAGGAAAAAGCGGCTGCCAAAGCAGTCTGCCCCGCGTGCCCAAGGCTCTCCTGCCGCTGCGGTGCCACAATGGCAAGGTCAAGTGAGGTGGGAGAACCCTTCAAGCTTGGCAAATAAATGGCAGGCGGGAGTAGAGCAACGCGTGCTATGCACGATGCGGGCATATCCGGCGCAGGAGTGCAGCAAGCGGACCCACCTGCGCATCACCTATCTTTGCCAGAGCCTCAAAAAGCGGAACGGCAGCCTTGACCCGAGCGCTGGTGTGGTGTGGCGGCGACAAAAGAATCTTCCCTGATGGCAGCCCCAAGCAAGACGAAGCTTTGACGGAAGCGACTGGAACCGTCCGGCTCACGCAACAACTCTTGGGGCAGAAGGTGGGCGATGGCAGACTCGGACAGAAGGCCAGCACCAACAACATCGCACTTAGCTAAGTTGAGCTGCAGCCCCGACGCGGGCGCACACCGTTTTACAAGCTGCAGGGCGTGGACGACAGCGAGGGCGTCGCCTGCAATGATGCCATCGTCCAAGAAAAAGAAGTCAAGGCCGGTCATGCTGCAGAGTTCCTGGGCCAGCGCTTGGAGCGCGGCAGAGAAGAGGAGAGGCCCCCCTGCTGCCACCGGCAGACTGCGCAGTGGTGGCGGCCCCGAACTGGAGGGCTGACGGCCGGCGGTAACACCAGCCCACGAAGCGTGCGAGGCCAGGAAAGTGGTGCAGGCCGCCTCAAACACCTGTTGCCTGGAAATAGTGTTAAATGCATTCGCGAAATCCAGCTTAAGGAGGAGCTTCCCTGAGCAAGTGGCATTGCGGCCGAACCATGCCCTGACAGTGTGAACCGCGGCCTCAAACACGTGCCGGTGGGGCGTCTGGGGATCTCACCAACAGCGACAGGGCGAACCCCACCATTTGGCTTGGGCAGAACGCAGTCACTTGACGGAGATGCTGAAGCACGCAGTCACTGGATCCAGGCGAGCCAGCTTCACGCAGGTGCTGCGCCCGAAAACCGCTCGGGCCCGGGGCGCTGTCGGCAGGAAACTGACGCAGGGCACGCGCAACAAGATCAGCAGGCACCTCGTCGGCCTGCGTGGCTTGAACCGGGTGCAGGTCTCGCAAAGCGGCTACAGTGGCAGGAGAATCCGGGCAGAGGCTGGTGGAGAGGAGGGCATTGCAGGCCTTGCTGTCGAACCCCTCACAGGCCAAACAATTGCAAGGGACCGTTTTTGCTCGGCATCGAGGGCGCGTGTGGGAAGGGCAGGCGGCGGAGTGCGATCATCCCACAAACTACGCCGCTCGCCCGCAGCCCGCCGCTGGAGGCGGTCAACAGTGTATGCGGCCGCAGCGCGACGGTGTCTGCAACCTCCGCGGGGCGGCGCTTCCAGCACGCACTGAGGCAGCATGAGGAGCTCCGTCCAAGCCTTAAGATCGTTGTGATGCACAGCTGCTGCAAGGGCCTGGGAGAGGACGCGCCCCCAGAGATATCGGGCTGCAACTGGGACATGGCGTAAGGTGCGAGCACGCCCCGACTGGATTTCGACAAGAGTGGGAAAATCCCGGTCACTAGGATGCGGGTCAGCAGCAGGCCCAAGCGCCGCCCGGGCAGCGGGACGACACGTGGGATCAGTGCCAAAACCGGGCAGAAACACTCAGTCACTCAGCCCGCAAACCGGGCACCGTTGACGGCCATGCTGGCGGAGCCAGTCTGCAAGAACCTCACCCTGCAAAGACCCGGCGAGGTGAGCATCAACATGGCCATGCGTGGTAGTGACATTAAGCCAACCGGGCGCGCGAGCTGGGTCGGCGCAAGGGCAGCTAGCAACCGGGCAGTAGACACGATGGCCAGCTGGAGGTCAACCTGCGTGGGTGCAGTATCAGGAGCGGTCCACGGATTGCAGGTGGCCGTTCTCCGCCCACTGGCGTTCCAGGAGCGGGCGGCCCTGGACGGCTGGCCTCCCGATGCGGACGCCTCGCAAAGGCCACCCCGCCCAGTTTTGCTTGCGCAGGCGGCGCCCCACGGCGCGGCATCCAGACACGCATCGAAGCCCCCAACGAAGCCCCCAGTCCAACTAACGGACTCCATGTCAGCTCACGGCGCCCCCTTCTCCCACACCTCGGCAGCAGGTCAAGGCGCACGGTGACGTCAGGGGAATGGAAAGTTCCCGGCAGAATCCCCCAAGCCACGAGGAACGGCACGAAGTAATTGACCAGATATGACCAGATTAGCAGGCCCCATCCCAGGCGACGGCGCCATGGCTCACAGGGAGAGAAACTTGGTGATGGGGCCAAGCAGGGACGTGCGGAGCGATGCCGGCAAGGAAGTGCGATGCGAGAGGGTATATTTATCCTGGGTTAGCCTTCAGTCCCAGAGCAGATGACGATAGCACGGGCGAAGGCAGGGCCGCACAGTCCCCCTCTCAGGTACCGGATGCTGACAAAATGGCTCGAGAGGAAGGAACAGCGAACGGTCAAAGCAGATTGAGAGCTCGGATCAGGCTTCAGGATAAGGAATTTTTCTTATCAGTCAGAACAGTTTTAGGTCTTAGGGGTTTGCCAGTATATTCTGTGAGCGAATGTAGGAGCACGCTTAGCTTTTTCAGTTCAACTGTGGGCATCATCGGTCCCCAAAGCTCTCAGGGTGACAACACAGCCGCTAGTTGTTCTTCATTGGCCTTCCTGTACTCTGCAGGTATCCTTTGCTGCGGTTTTTGCTTGAGCAGTGTGTGCGGCGGATTGGTCTGTTTCCAGTTTTTGACCCGTGTGGACTTGTCGCAGCACAAGCATCACGTACCCCACATAACCTCTAACGTCATTCTGTCAGCCGGATAGAGGATATAGGATACAGACTCCGCGCGTCAGGTACTCCGCG